CGCCATTCTCCTGCCTCAGCCTCCCGAGTAGCTGGGACTACAGGCGCCTGCCACCTCACCCGGCTAGTTTTTTGTATTTTTTAGTAGAGACGGGGTTTCACCGTGTTAGCCAGGATGGCCTATCTTGCTTTTCCACCCTCCCTTTTGCACCTCTGGCAAAAGGTATTGGGGGTATTCTATTCGCTTTCCAGCCACTTTCAGCTATTTAAATGTTGATCTCAAACTCAGTGAACTCTTTCCTCTGTCTCCATGCAGATGACTGGTGGCTTGAAGAATGGTGAGGGGTCAGGGTGAAGGGGAAGGACTGTGGCTCCATGCTTGTCTAGGGACCTTGGACTTGGGGGCACAGAGGCAGGCTGCGCTTCTGAAACCCCTCTTCCCCACCTATGTTCTAGATCCAGCTCTTACAAGAAGGATGGAAGACAGCGAACATCACTTCTTCAAATACCTGGGTGTGTGGAAATCGTTTCTCTCTCTGCTGTCACCACATCTCTGGGCATACACCTGGCAGTGGATTCTCTGTGTGCAGCAGGAGTCCCAGTGCTGTATGTCTCTGCATCCTCCTGGCCTGATCCTGTTGCCCAGTGCAGTGCCCTTGGTCAGCAGGGCCTCAGTGAACCGAGATGGGAGGGGGCAAGTGTCTTACAGCCCACGCCTCCCACTCCCACCCCTGGTCCTCTCTCGTTCTTCTTCCCCCAGGACCTGAAGGGGTGGCCTCCCCTCCTTCCTTTGGGTCAGATCCTTGTCTGACCAGAGCAGAAACCCTGAGAGATCTGGAAAAGGAGAAAGGACCATACCTCCAGCTGAAAGGAGTCAGGAAGCCCTCTCTCTGCACTAAGCCTCTTTCTCCTGACCGGGGTCTCCCAGCTCAGCCTAGAGACAAAGGCTGCCAGGCTGCAGGGGTCATGGGAAATTCAATGCCACAATTTAGTATTTGCAATTTGTGGCCCCCTTTCAAATGTAGTCTCTGAAGATCTCTGTATAATTGTCAGCAAAACCCCTCGAGCTAGTAAGACTTAACACAAACTTTCCTGTTTGAACTTTAAGATGATGATTGCAAATACCAGTGAAGGTGAAGAGTGAGAATTGTATCATCTTGCAGGGGTTCCTGTAAGTGCATAGTCAAGTGGACCTTAAAAATACATAAGGGCTAAGGGGCCGGTTGCAGTGGCTCACACCTGTCATCCCAGCACTTTGGGAGGCCGAGGCAGGCGGATCACGAGGTCAGAGATCCAGACATCCCTGGGCCATACAGTGAAACCCCGTCTCCACTAAAATACAAAAAACTACCGGCGGACGGTGGGCCAGGTGCCTGTATCCAGCTACTCCAAGAGGCAAGCCAGACATGCGGAACCCCGGGAGCGAAGGCCATGGAGCAAAAGAGTGCCATAGCACCTTCCACCTGGGCCAACAGAGCAAGACTCGTCCCAAAAAAACAAAACAAAACAAAACAAAAGCAAAAAACATAAGCCAGGGCCACCCCTGGCTCATGCCTGTAATCCCAGCACTTAAAGCAAGTGGGCAGATCCAATGAAGTCAAAGATCGAGAAACCGTCCTGGTGAAAGTCCCATCCACTAAAACCAAACAAAAAAAACAAAATTAGCTGCATGGTGTTGCTCCACCGTATTCCCAGTTACCCGGAGGCCCGAGGCCAGGAGAACCACTTGAACCCCCAGGAGGTAGATGTTGCCAGTGAGCCGACAAGCCGCACCCACTGCCAAGCTCCAGCCTCGGGCAACATGAACCAAACTCCATCCCAACAAAAAAAAAAAAAAAAAAAAGAAGCGCATGATCTGAAAACCTGAGCCAAAGACAAACCTCCCAAATACAATACTTTCTCCCGGGTGCGGAGAACAAGAGAAGCTTTTCTTTCTTCCTTCTCTTTGGGTATCCCAAATGGTCTATCATAAGCATGTTTATTTTTAAATTGGGGAAAACAGCAACTTACTGAAAATGAGTGCAAGAAAAAGCCCCCTGAGGCATTTATAGGGAGTTTCATTTTATCACCACAATTTGCGTTCCAGAGAAAAGCATCACTTCCTTATTTGGGAACTCTAGCTCAGTGCCTGGAAAATGATGAGTGCTGGGAGGTGTACTGCCTTTCCTCCCCTCCAGCCCCAGCCCCACTTTCTCACTCTGCACCACCTCATGCACCTGGCTGGCTTCTGGGTGCAGCAGCTGCAAATTCAAAAGGCAGAGAGAAGTTCATTTCCAAGAGAATGTTGGACAATTGTGTTTGCATCCCTAGAAGGAACCAGCTGGGAGTGGCCAAGGGACCAAGCTATCGGGATAGTCCTAGGTTTAAGGAGGAACACTTCTGCCTGTGGGCTTCCCCGACTCCATTGTCCATTCGGCCTCACAGAGTCTCACTCTGGGGTCAAACCACCATGTCTCCAAAGTCTGGAGGAGCTCAGCGGGAGAAGCATGAGACCATCAGTCAGGGGCCAGCCCATGTCACAGACCTGACTTTGGGGTCACCCTTTTCCTCTTATGCCTCAGAGGAGCATTATATCTTCTCTAGATACCGGAGGAGGCTCCAATTAGTCTAAATGCTGAGGAACACAGACAGTCAGAAACAGTGCCAAGGCCTCCCCCTCAGAAGAGCCTCAGGGCTCAGCTTGGCTCAAAGCTGCACTATATATGTGTAATATGAATGTATATTTCTGAATGCATATCTGTATGTATGGATGTACATATGTATATGCTCACATTTACATACATGCACACACACATATTAAATATATACATCGTGTACATCATGCACACTCATTTGCGTATGCTCAGACATTCTAGAATTATGCCTGGTACAATCAGAGGGTGTAACCTCAGAGAGGATGGACTGGAAATAAGAGTACGAGAGAGGGGAAGTTCTGTCCCTCACCTGATATCCATTCAGTAACATTTGAATTTTTGTGTACAAGCTCTTTTCACAACAAAATAAAAACGACTTAAACTTAGTCTCAGCGCTGAATGGAAAAGTGAATGAGAGGGGTGGCCGTGGCAGTCCTATGGAGCACGCGTGCTTCACTCTCTTTCAGCGTCACTCAGGGGACAAGGCCGTGTCCACATTCACAGAGGCTTGGGCAGCAATACATTCATAGAAAGCTCTGATTAATGACTCAGGCTTTGCCCCAAAGGACTCATGAGCATTCCAAACACAAATGTAAACACTGGCTGGTCTACTGTATGCTGGAAAACGCAGCCACTCTAAGCAGGGCCTTGCAGGCTCTAAGATACTGCAGCGAGCCTGTGGAGCTCAGCCTAATGGCTAAATGAGATGTAGCAGCTGCTTTTGATTGTGGGATATTCCCCAAGCCCAACTGCAACCATAGTGAATGGAGTTATTTTTGAAGTTCAAGCTGCGCTGGATCTTTTCAAATAGCCAAGAGCATGTTCGTGGCAGCCCTGTTTTTTTCCATGGCCCTTCACTCCCTGTTTCCTTCAGAAATTGAGCACTGATTGTTAATCCTCGTGGATCTCTTCTTAGCCACTTCCTGACCTCATCTGTGGAGGCGGGGGAGGGAGGGGAAAGATGTTTTTAGAAACTCAAAGTTTGAGAGAAAGATCTAAAAGGGTCTGAGTCTAATGAATTCCCAACACTGAAAAGAGTTAGCATAACATTCCTTCCATGTTAATATTTGGCAGCCTGTGCAGTGTTTGGACTGGAAGATAAAGTAGGGGATAGACAGAGAGAGAGGGAAGAAGAGAGAGAGAAAGGTTGGTGGCAGAAGGGAGGGAAAGAAGGGGTGGTAGAGGAAGCGGGAGGAGGGAGAAAGAGAAAAATGGAAAGAGAGAAAGCTGTAGAGACAGAGGAAGGGAGAGAGAGAGCCTACCTGTGATCGAATTCTTCCGGTACACCAAGGCAAGAAACCCCAGGATACAGAAAGCCCTCTGTCCTTGTGATAACGAAGGGCGTCTAATTGAGCTGACTAAGATAAGCCGCCTGTGGAGGGTTGAACTAAAAGAGCTCCCTGTAACACATGCCCATGGGGGCTTCAGGAGCTGTAAACATTCACCCCTAGAGGCTGCTGTGGGGTCGGAGCCCCACAACCTGCCCATCTGTATGCTCCCCTAGAGGTTTGAGCAGTGGGACACTGAAGAAGCAAGCCACACCCTCATCACACGCCCTGCGAGGGGGACAGGGAACCTTTCCCTGAAAATTCTTAATTTTCCCCCAACGTGCTGAGCCAGTAGGAAATAAATCTGTCTTTCCCTGGGAGCATTTAAGAAGCTCTGGGCCCACCCTGTAGGACCCTCTTTCAAGTCCTGCTTCTTGCCAGCCCTGGGCCTTGTTTGGGTGGCCTGCACCGAGGCCTGAGACAAGCTCTCCTACCATTACTATCTGGACCCACACCCTGCCTGGCTCCACTGTCTCCAAGGCTCTGTGGAGCGGCCACCAGTGGCCTGTCCCACAGCCATCGCTTCCTTCCTTCCTAAGATAACCCAGTTTTGTTCAGGAACTTGTGGTTCTGTGGCTTGGGGTGTGGGGCTCACGCAGCCCCTCATGTGCTAGATTGAACAATACAACAGGGGTAAATCTGCTGTAGGGGCCTCTGGGGATAATTTCCTCACCTTGACTGTGTGATCAGGGACAGGACACATCTTCTATGGCCCCTGGCCATTGTTGTGAGGGTGGGAAGGCCAGAACTGCTACAGGCTTCTCCATCACCATGAGAGGCCAGCCCAAGATACTCAGCCAGAACCACAGGAAGGACGCCAGGCCCTGGAGCCGGTGTCCTCTTGGGCTCCTGTGTGATTCTCCCCATGCAGCAAGCAAGGCGCCTGATGTCCTCCTGTGTGCAGGCGAGTCTGTAAACCACTGTGCAGGTGAATCTGCGGGTCAATGCAAGTCAGTGGGAGCCCAGGAGGTAGACATGGACATCAGCCTGCGGCAGGAGAAGGGAAGCCACAGTCAAATGTCAACAGGAGGGGCCGGGCACGGTGGCTCACACCTGTAATCACAGCACTTTGGGCTCACACCTGTAATCACAAGGTGGGTGGATCACTTGAGGTCAGGAGTTCCAGACCAGCCTGGTCAACACAGTGAAACCCTGTCTATACTAAAAATACAAAAACTGGCTGGGTGTGGTGGTACGTGCCTGTAGTCCCAGCTACTCATGAGGCTGAGGCAGGAGAATTGCTTGAACCTGGGAGGTAGAGGTTGCAGTGAGCAGGAGATCATGCCACTGCACTCCAGCCTGGGTGGCAACAGAGCGAGACTGTGTCTCAAAAAAAAAAAAAAAAAGAAGAAGAAGTCAGTGGGAGACCAGAAGTTAGCTCAACACAGTGGAGTGGGAGAAAGCACATCCCAAGTTGGGAAAGGACGTGCCAGCAGGTAAGGACATGGGGGAGAGACAGGACTGTGCAGTGTTGTCAGGGCTGAAGCCAAGAGTGGGAGCATGGAGAGAGGAGGGCCTGGAAGTCGATGGGGTCCATGAGGAGGGTTCTTAGCATCCTTATCCCCCAACTTGGCCATGGGAGACCAGAAAAGTTGGTCAATTATCCAAAAGCAGGCATAGTTAAGTCTTTAAAAGATGTTTACTTTAGGCTTTATTATTTGCTTTTGTGTATAAAGACAGACACGTGCTCAGGAAAAGCATTATCCACCTGCCGATCTGGCTGAGATGATGCCTTCACACGGATGGAATACCCACAAAATAATCCTGGAGATGTCTGCAGCTGGACTTATTGTAGCTTGGTGTGCCCCAATATCTCCAGCTTTGTAAACAACCTGAGATCTTTATCAGCTGCCTCAGATGAACTTTGAGAGGTACAGAAAATTTCTCATTCAACAGAAATTTATTGTACATAGCTTGTATGCTAGGCTTTGGGGATACAAATGAATAAGATTCAGACTTTTTCTTCCAGTGGTTTACTGTCTTTGTCCCTTCAGGCTGTTGTAACAAAATACCGTAGCCTGGTTGGCTTATAGACAATAGAAATGTATTGCTCACGGCCCTGGACGCTGGAAGTCCAAGATCAAGGTACCAGCAAATTTGGTAACTGGTGAGGGCGTGCTTTCTGGTTCATGGACGGTACTTTCTTGCTCCATCCTCAGTGGTGGAAGGGTCAAGGGAGCTCTTTGGGGTCTCTTTTCTAAGGGCACTAATCCCATTCATGAGGCTCCATCCTCAAGACCTAATCACCTCCCAGAAGTCCCCCCTCTTAATATCACTACTTTTTTTTTTTTTTTTTTTTTTTTTTTGAGACAGAGTCTCGCTCTGTCGCCCAGGCTGGAGTGCAGTGGCTGGATCTCAGCTCACTGCAAGCTCCGCCTCCCAGGTTTACGCCATTCTCCTGCCTCAGCCTCCCAAGTAGCTGGGACTACAGGTGCCCGCCACCTCTCCCGGCTAGTGTTTTGTATTTTTTTAGTAGAGACGGGGTTTCACTGTGTTAGCCAGGATGGTCTCGATCTCCTGACCTCGTGATCCACCAGGCTTGAGCCACCGCGCCCGGCCTAATATCACTACTTTAAGAGTTAGGGTTTCAACATGAATTTGGGAGCTGGGAAGGCACAAACATTCAGATGATTATGAAACGGGAACAGTTCCCTTTTCCCCCTCGCAGGGCATGTGATGGAGGAGTGGCTTGCTTCTTCAGTGTCCCGCTGCTCAAACCTCTAGGGGAGCATACGGATGGGCAGACCGTGGGGCCGTAGTGCTTAGGAGTGAATGTTTACAGCTGAAGCCCCAGTGGGCGTATGTCACAGAGTGCTCTTGTAGTTTAGCCATCCATAGGCGACTTGTGTTAGCTCAATTAGACCCTTGCCTTATTGCAAGGACAGAGAGCTTTCTGTATCCTGGGTTCTTGCCTTGGTGTACTGGAAGATTCGGGTCACACGTGGGCTTGGAGAATGAATGCAAGATTTTCTTGAGTGAAAGTAGCTTTCAACGGATGGGGGAGCCAGAAGGTGGACTGGTTTTCCTCTGGAGTGCCTGGGCTCTCCACTGACCGCCTCAGCCAAACCACATGGTTCTGCCGGTCGGTGGCCTGCCAGTATGGCAGTGCCTGTCAGTGAGTTCCTCTGGACGTCCAGCCGCCTGTGTGTTCCTCTGCAGACGTGTTCCTCTTGGCGTCCAGCTGCTGGTGTGTCTGCCTGCTAGGGTCTCCGGATTTTTGCAGGCACAGGATGGGGGCATGGCAGGCCAGGGTGGTCTTGGGAAATGCAACATTTGGGCAAGAAAACAAAAAATGCCTGTCCTCACCTAGGTCCACGGGCACAGGCCCAAGAGTAGAGCCCTGGCCAGGGACCATGACCTCTTCTACCCAGCACTTCCTTTCCGTATCATTTAAGGGTACCACACCCTTCCCTTCCCAGCACTTCCCTTCCCCACTTCCATATCAATAGCAAGTACCATTTTGTGGTGCCAACAGGCACATGGAATCCCCCCTTCCAGAGTTTTCCTGCCACACTGAGGAAAGATACATAGGCATTTTTCAGTTTGTTCAGGCTGCTGTAACAAAATACCTTAGACTGGGTAATTTATGAACAATAGAAATGTTATTTCTTTTTTTTTTTTTTTTTTTGGAGACGGAGTCTCGCTCTGTCTCCCAGGCTGGAGTGCAGTGGCCGGATCTCAGCTCACTGCAAGCTCCGCCTCCCGGGTCCACGCCATTCTCCTGCCTCAGCCTCCCGAGTAGCTGGGACTACAGGCGCCCGCCACCTCACCCGGCTAGTTTTGTTTTTTTTTTTGTATTTTTTAGTAGAGACGGAGTTTCACTGTGTTAGCCAGGATGGTCTCGATCTCCTGACCTCATGATCCACCCGTCTCGGCCTCCCAAAGTGCTGGGATTACTTAGAAATGTTATTTCTTAAAATTCGGGAGGCTAGAAACTCCAAGATCAAGACACCAGCAGATTCAGCATCTGATGAGGGCCCATTCTCTGCTTCAAAGGTGGAGCCTTCTTGTTGTGACTTTGCATGGCAGAACGGGCAGGCGGCTCTCCGGAGCCTCTTTTTTAAGGGCACTAATCCCACTCATGAGGGCACAGGAACAGAGCCCTACCAACCTTACTACCTTCCAAAGGCCCCACTTCCTTTTACTAGGACTTTGCAATTAGGTGTCAGCATATGAACTGGGGAGGGGACAAATATTAGGCCCAGCAGGTATGTAATAATACTAGCTGCCATTTATTGAAGAATTCATATCCTCTGTACTAGGTGAAACACTCTCTGTAAATTACATCTAATCTTCACTACAATTCTTCCACTATCTCTGTGGCAGGCTGTGTCTCCCAAAGAGGGCTGCCATGATGTATGTATTCCATTCACGTGCTCTCACACAGCGCTGTCCTCCCACAGAGGACCTCCCTTGCATCTAGAAAGCAGTCATGACCACTCTGACCAGTAGGAAATGGCCAACAGGCACCAGTAGATACTGTTCAATCAAGTTTAGCCTAAAGCTGCTACTTACATATTTTAAGTTTGGCCTGAAAGTTTCTCTGTACATTATGTGAACTAGAGCCTAAATGGAGTTATACACAGACTGTAGCCTACTCTTGTGCCGGTCACTGAGTTTTGGCCAATCGAAGGTTGCCAATTGGCCAGGTGCAGTGGCTCACACCTATAATCCCAGCACTTTGGGAGACCGAGGCAGGTACATAACTTGAGGTCAGGAGTTCGAGACCAGCCTGACCAACATGGCAAAACCCTGTCTCTACTAAAAATACAAAAAATTAGCTGGGTGGGTGGCAGGAGCCTGTAATCATAGCTACTAGGGAGGCCGAGGCAGAAGAATTGCTTGAACCTGAGAGGCAGAGGTTGCAGTGAGCCGAGATTGCTCCATTGCACTCCAGCCTGGGTGACATAGTGAGACTCCATTTCTAAAAAAAAGATTGCCAACTATACAAACCGTGTTCAAATAAAGCAAACGCCGAGCTGTCACCAATCCAGCTGTTTCTGTACCTCACTTCTGTTTTCTGTACGTCACTTTCCTTTATCTGTTCATAAATCTTCTACCATGTAGCTGCACTGGACTCTCTGAGTCTACTCTAACTCTGGAGGTTGCCTGATTTGTGAATCATTCTTTGTTCAATTAAATTCTTTTAAAGTTAATTTGGCTAAATATTATTATTATTATTATTTTGAGATGGAGTCTCGTTCTGCCATCCAGGCTGGAATGCAGTGGCATGATCTCAGCTCACTGCAACCTCTGCTTCCAGGGTTCAAGTGATTCTCCTGCCTCAGCCTCCCGAGTAGCTGGGACTACAGGCGCGTGCCACCATGCCCAGCTAATTTTCGGTATTTTTAGTAGAGATGGGGCTTCACCATGTTAGCCAGGATGGTCTTGATCCCCTGACCTCGTGATCCGCCCTCCTCGGCCTCCCAAGGTGCTGGGATTCCAGGTGTGAGCCACTGCGCCTGGCCAAGATTTTTTTAAACAATGTTTTACAACTGGAAAAAAAATTAAGACTTTGATTTGTACACCTGCCACTTGCTGGGGTGTAAATATGCCCATGGTGGGTTTCAAGCTACTAGGATGACGTCACTGAACATGAAGTTGGAAAGACATGTGCATTAACACACCATTAATAGTATTTCCACCCTACAGATGTGATCGATGTAAATAACTCCAAAAGCATAAATAATAGTAATACATAGTAAAAAAATCATTTGGAAGTGACAAAGAATGTATTGCCTTTGATTTTTTATTATTTTTTTCTTTTCTGAGGCAGAGTCTCGCCTTGTCCCCCAGGCTGGAGTGCAGTGGTGCGATCTCAGCTCACTGCAAGCTCCGCCTCCCGGATTCACACCATTCTCCTGCATCAGCCTCCCGAGTGGCTGGGACTACAGGTGCCCACCACCATGCCTGGCTAAGTTTTTATATATATAGTAGAGACGGGGTTTCACCGTGTTAGGCAGGATGGTCTCGATCTCCTGACCTTG